CTTTGGCTTTTATGACAGCTCGTATATGACGAGGCATACTATCCGCCAAATTTGCCAATATTTCTCCTTCAAGACCATACCATTCTTCCGTCAGTGCTGCAAACCATTCATTGAGGTTTCTGGACAAATTTCACGTTTTCTCACTCTCCTTTCGAGTTTATCCCATAGGTTCTCCATAGAGTTAAGGTCAGGACTTTGTGGAGGCCATGGAAGAGACATTATATCATTATCCTCTCTAAAGCGCTCCACTTCTGCTGTCCGATGTGGCCTGGCATTATCATCTTGGAAAATCCATATATTGGATTCATCTAAACTCTCTATAAGTGGGGGCAGCTGTTCTTCAAGAATGTTTCTATAAGAATGTTTCTATAGACTTTCCCTGTAATACTATTTTTAATTCGTATTAATGGACCAACACGTTCGCGGGTAAAACAACCCCACACCATCACGCCAGGAGAATGAGCGACTTTCGGGACTAAACAATTTACATCGTATTTCTCGTGCGCTTGCCGCCACACCCATTTATAAAAGTCATTTGCAAGTAAAACGAATCGTGATTCATCTCTAAATATCATTTCATTCCACTCGTATGACCAGGCATTGGCAAACCTTGCAAAAAAGAGACGTTTTTTTCTGTTACCCTCTGAAACTAGAGGCTTTCGTTTACCTGCACGAGCATGGTAAACTTTTTCATACTGTGCTGTCTACTTATCGCTAGATGAAGGCCTGGTTGCCTCCAATTTTTTCTGACAGTCGTCCAATGTGTTGTCGATAAATGGATCAAAATACCATATAATATGCAGCTCGCCCGCCTTTAGTAAGTATTTCTATAGTAATTCAGAAGAACAAAAATAATAAACAAACGAAAACTTGAAATATAAAGCAAAATATCTAAATATCTTTGGTTGAGGAAACAAATAAGTATTATTGTTTCCATTTCAATAGTGTACGTTATAAGTCAAGTTATAATAAAAATTGGTGGGGTTTTTCATCGCAACTCTTTCTTTGTTTTATCTTTTAAATGTCCTTTACTTTTACATAACAATAAGTTTAGTTTGTAATCAGGAAGAATGTAAATCTTATTTTTATCGGTAATGCTCATAATGATTTCGATAGGAAGGCTAATTAAAATCAACTCTAAACTAATATCGTCGCACTATCACCACTTTCTATGGTAACCCTTCCCAAATCTCAGTAAAAGCACCAAGTTATCACATCTATCGTTGTTTGCAAGGTTGTAGGCACTTATTACAATTTATAAAAGCGGGTCAATAAAAGAGATAATGAATAATTTGATTCGTTGTGCGTTGTACCCTAGTACTACAAATCTGACACAAGCAATTCTTACTTAAATATATACATAATAATAATATTAATATGCAATAGCAAATCTATATGTTAACTGCGTTTACGTTGCGCATGCCGATACCCTAATAAGGGATCTGTAAAGTTTTCGGCACGCAACATATCGTAAAGCGACTGTTTTTTCTTTGTTGGAGGAGGTTTCGCTGTAGTCGTAGGACGTGAAGTAGATGCCCTTGAATAAAATTATGTTAGCATCCATCGTATTTTATCACATAATATATTTGTTAAACGTACTGGCTGCTTGCATCGCTTGATGTTTGTCGAACGGAGGGCCTCGATGGTTGTCTTGGATGTGATGCTAATAGAAAGTAAATTGATTTTTAATTAATGACATGACCCTTTTTACTTGACAGGTGTAACGAATAACCGCTTATTACACTGATTTACCTGATGCATCTTGATCCGTGCGTCTTGGTATCGCAACCCACTCGGGTGGTGGCGAACGACGTATTTCTTCCATGCTACGGGTTGCCCTTAAAGCCCACGATGGAGCTTGATAGGCATGTCGCACGTATACCCTCGCACGTTCGCGTAGACGACTTCTCATCTGCCTGTGCGAAAAGGTTACAGTGTGCTGACGTACCCATGACATGGTAACACGTCGACGGATCCGTGCTTCTTCTTCACGGTTCCGTTTCCAAATCGCGTACCAAGGCGAAAGGCGCCTGCGATCGTCCCATCGAGGCAGTTCACGCCAACGTTGAAAGTCTTGACGTCGGCGTTCTTCAAACGTCCTCGGCTCCTCACTCGTTTGGTATTCGCGACAGCGCTTCTGCCAGTCACGATAAAAGATGGCTAGAACTAAAATAAAAAGTGCATAAAGGAGGAAGAAAATATAAGCTGGGTAGTAATCCTGACCCGCAGGATTACTCTATTGAGATTGTTCCAGACAAGTCAACTGATAAGGGAAATATTTCAAGTTATCTTACATATGATACCTTTACAAATACATATTGTCAACTGCTTGTCCCTATTGTTTATTTGAAGTGCATTGAGAGCTATTTCTATTCATATTAGTATATAAGTTGTTTACATAAAGACGGAACGGACTCTGAATGTAGAGTTTGTATTTGTGTCAAATGATATAATATTATATTTGAGAACTGTGTATATATAAATGCGAATTTATGATAATAAAAATTCGATTGGCCTAGACCATATACGAACCGGCAACGGGACTTTCCAATGGTGATACCGTTGACATATTAATATGTCACACAATCTAAATTTTTTTCCACTGATACTAATATTATAGTTATGTCACAGCAACGAGGATAACAGGTTATCAAGACACATAGAACTGACAGGCTGGAGTGTTTAGCGTTTGACGATTATTATTACTCGTATGAGACAATAGTACGTTAAGTGGGTCAAATTTTTCAGATGCGCTAAATTCCTTTTAGAAAGTGGGCTGATTGATTAACCAACATAGTAAGTTGGGAGACGATCATGTTGAATGCATGTGAAATTTTTGTATGCAAACCTCATTTTTATGCTATGACATCCGCGCGACACGTACTAATGTCTTCAAATTCTCAGTCGCGTTTGTAAACAAATAAGCGTATTTAACGTCCCCTGATGGTTTGGTCTTGAAGGAGAAATATTGGCAAATTTGGCGGATAGTATGCCTCGTCATATACGAGCTGTCATAAAAGCCAAAG